CACACACAGGTACGCAGACACACAATTTTGAATCCTATATTAACAAAAATGTGCACATACATTTTTAGAAGTTTCCAAACTATTTGTAACATATACATAGCCCAGACCCTGTTTTCTTCCTTGCTTATTTCTAAGGAAAAGAGCTCTTTGAGGAGAATTTTGAGGTTTTTGTTTTTAAATACAAAGTTTTAATCTTATGTTTCCTGTTAGCGTAATCTGGAGCCATGGTTTTCAAACTTTTTGATTTCCCAGGAGAAAATTCCAAAAATATCACAAATAATATTGGTGATTTCAATTATTTTTATTTTGCCAAATTGAACATTTAAAATAATTGGTTTCAAACTGCTATTATAATAATTTCAAAAAAGAAAGAGCATTTTAAAGTGCAGGAAAAATGTAGAAGAGATGTGATGACTGTGGTAGCTTTAGTTTCTCTCCCTAATGACCGTCACAGGTGGGCGCCAGGAGATGAACATTTAGAAACCACTGAGTGATGGCAGAGGCCAAGTGCACTGGGAATTTAAGGCCATATTGATATGAGACAAAACACAGAGTGTAAATGTGGGTCCTCACGGATTTTTCCTTTTTTTTTTTTTGAGATGGAGTCTTGCTCTGTCGCCAGGCTGGAGTACAGTGGCACAATCTTGGCTCACTGCAACCTCCACCTCCTGGGTTCAAGCAATTCTTCCGCCTTAGCCTCCCAAGTGGCTGGGACCACACGGGCATGCCACTATGCCCGGCTAATTTTTTTGTGTGTTTTTAGTACAGACGGGGTTTTGCCACGTTGGCCAGGATGGTCTCAATCTCTTGACCTCATAATTCACCCACCTCGGCCCCCCACATTGCTGGGATTACAGGCGTGAGCCACCACACCCGGCCAAGGATTTCTCCCTTTCTACAAAACTTCTGTTTCTCTCTCCTCACTTCTCAGTTTGTGCTGCTGTGGGTGTTTTCTGCACTCACACCGCCAGACCCAGGCTGGAACTGTCCCTTGGCTTGCATGACAGCACCTTCTTGGTTTCTTCCTCCTGTCCTGGCCACTTCTAGTTAGTCTCTTTTGCAGGCTTAGTATTACTTGCCAGAGCTCAGTGTAATCCCTACAATGATCATTTGAAGGCATGAAGACATCATCACATTCATCCTATGGATTTTTTCCCAGCTAAGAACCATCAAGTCTTTCATCTGATCTTTATTCATCATTACATCCACACTCTAGAGTCCTAGTTGCCCTCCTGTGGATGTGCTTGAATTTGCAGATGCCATTCTCAAAGAGCGATGCCAGGAGCAGCATCAGATAGAACAGACTCTGCCTGGCTGGTCAAGGTGTCTCCCAGCACTTTGGGAGGCCAAGGCGGGTGGATCATGAGGTCAAGAGATGGAGACCATCCTTGCCAACATGGTGAAACCCCGTCTCTCCTAAAAATACAAAAGTTAGCTGGGCTTAGTGGCACATACCTGTAGTCCCAGCTACTCGGGATGTTGAGGCAGGAGAATCACTTGAACTCAAGAGGCGGAGGTTGCAGTGAGTTGAGATCACGCTGCTGCACTCCAGCCTGGGTGACAGACCGAGACTCCATCCCAGGATTTTTGGGTTGACAAGCACATCACTTTCCATTCTTACTGACTTAGGTTAATTGTTCTTCACACATTTCACTGTCAATCTCTTTAATCTCTCCTCATACAATTGTTGCATTTTGTCTCAGATTTGTAACTTTGCACATATGTTCACTTACCAATAAACTAGCAAAATTAAAAAGGCCTTTAAATTTCTTTTGTCACGGGCCCGAATTACATTGACTTTGGGATATCCAGCCATTGGGTGTGAAGTTTTATTAATTTCACAAATCTGCTTTTCTGTTTGGGAGGCTGAAGGAAAATGCACCTTGAAGAAGAAGACTTCCGTAGCTCGAAAGTTTGTGTATTTGACGGAGAACAGAGGAGCCCAGCTTACTTTAAACACTGGAAATTCCCTCATCAAAAGAAACCGTAGGCAATGAAAAACTTTTGCTTCTCTGATGGAATAAGGTGTATTTGTTTCCTAGGACTGTTACAAATTATTAGAAACTTAGTGGCTTAAAACAATACAAATTTCTTTCTTTCTCAGAGACCTAGAGGCTAGAATCCCAAATCAAAGGTCAGCAGGCTCCAGCTTCTCTTGCCAGCTCTTGAAGAGAGTCCTTCTATGTTTCTTTCAGATTTTGGTGGCCCTGAGCGTTCCTTGACTTCTGGCTGCACAGTTTCACTCCCTGACTCCATCTCCACGGGGCTTGTTTTCTTCTGTGTCTTCCCTTCTATCTTTTGTAAGACACTGTCATCAGATTTAAGACTCACCTGGATAATCCAGGATGATCTCATCGTGATGCTCATAATTTAATTACATCCGCAAAGAAGACCATTTTCCAAACAAGTTCACACTAACAGGTTCCAGGGAATAGGATGTGACATGTCTTGGGGGGAGGGGAGCCCATTCCACCTACGGCCTCGAGTTATATGCTTACCAAGGATTCTGCGGCTTGGCTATGTAGTTTTAGTTTTAAAGCCCATCAGTCACCACCAATTAATCATCCCATGCCACGGTTTCTTTTTTTTCTTTTCTATTGCATCTACTTGTTGCATCTCCCTGAGGTTGGTAAAGTTGGATCTTTTGACACAGACAATAAATTTTCTATGTGGTCTCCGAACAAGCTATCTGAACTCAATTTCAATTTCTGACCTGTCCTTGTTACTGAGCAGCTGTATCATGACATTAAAAGTTTTGTGAGTCTAGCATTCATGACAATATCACTAGGAACATCATCATAGGCTGTATGTGTATAGAGGCCTGAAAACATGAATACCACGGAGTCAACTTATCACCTGATGTAAATTGTCAGTTTGGTTTCTGGATAGGGAACCTTTATTAGGTATGAGTTTTACAAATATCTTCCCCCCTCTGATGCCTGTTCTTTTCCCTTCTATCATTTTGTCTGCTTTTTGAATGGTATATTTTGAGAAATGGAAATTTGTAATTTTACTATAACCAAATATATTTTTATTTTTATGCAGCAAAGAATAAGTTTCAGAAACATACAATATAATGCTATGTATAGAGAATTTAAACACAGGCAAAGTAATGCCATATGTTGCTTGAAGATACACTCATATGTAGCAAAAGTGTAAAACAATGCATAGGAACGGCAGGCACCTAATTGAGGGCATCAAAGTTAATAGTAATGTTTTTATTTTTTTAAGCAGAATGGCAAATATAAAACTAGAGAAGTTTGGAACTCACCACCTCTACTCCTGCTGGCTTTTTCTACTTGGGGAAAATAACTTACAAAATAATTAATGTCACTTTCAAGCTTAACATCAATTTTGTCACTGAACGTTCAACAAGGCTGTCTATGAATTCTGATTGAGCATGAGAACTGCACCAACTTAAACACTGCTTACGCCTTCTGTGTAACTAGGAAAAAATGTGGGGTATATGGAAAAGAGAAAGAAAGCTTTTCTTTATTGACATACCTATCATTAGGGTTTTCCATTAATAAATATTATATACTGTGCTTCTAGAACAAAAGTTGACGGGGAGAGATAGTAAGGGGAGAGATGCCAGTTGTAGGTGATGGGGAGGAAGGCAGCAAATCACACTGCCACGGGTGTACCTATGCAACAATCTTGCATGTTCTTCACATGTATCCTAAAACCTAAAATGCAATAAAATAAATAAATGGAAAAAAAGTTGACAGTAGTCATTTGCCAGTGAATTTTGTAGATCCATACCATTAATTTGTCTTCTTTTTTTTCTTATTTCATTTATCCCCAGTAAACACACTATGTGTGGTTGACACATTTTCCTTGGGATGTATTTTTATCCCGTGAAAGGCTCACATGCCTGTTTTCTTGACTTCAGTTAGGAGAAGCAGACTTTTACAAAGAAAACCCCCATGAAGACTGAGCAGAAACAGACGACTCTCTCCTCTCTAAAAGTTGTATTTTGGTGCCATAGTAAATTCAAGTCAACAATTAAATGAACACTTATTGAGCACCTACTTCTTGGGGTGCTTAGCACCAGATTTGCTCTCAGGGGTGTTCATTCTGCTTGGGGAAGAGTGAGGAAGGAAGGGTAATATTACTATGGACTAAATGTCTTTGTCCACCCAAAATGTGTATATTGAAACCGTAATCTCCAATGTGATGGTATTTTGAGCTAAGGCCTTCGGGAAGTAATTAGGTCTTGATGGTGGAGCCGTCATTAGGAAATTAATGCCCTTAGATGGAGAGATGTGATGGTGTGCTATCTCTCTCCCTTTCTCTCTTTCCCTCTCCGTCTTCCTCTCTCTCCCTCTCTCTCTCCTTGCCTCTGTCTCCCTCTCTTTCCTCTCTTCTATGGCCTCTCTCTTTCTTACTGTCATACGAAAAAACCATGCGTGATCTCAGGCTTTCAAGTCTACAGCTGTCTGTTGGTTAAGACACCCAGTCTGTGGTATTTCCTTATAACAGCCTGAGCTACGACAAACATGTACAGCAATTCCTGTAAAGGCAGAGGCACTATGTTTGAGCTTCCTTCATTTTATTCTAATTTTCTCAATGCCTTTCCTCCATACCTAAGATTAATACCCAGAAGCCAGTGCCAATTCTTCTAGTCAGGGGCACTGAATAACTCTCAGGGGCCATTGGATATCTACCCAGCGGCTGGTGAGTGACCTTCAGTGCTTTGACTTTCAAAAGGGCAGAGACACAAAGTATCACATCTCTTCAATTCCGCACAATAACCTTCTCTCTTTAGAAGGAATTGCTGAAGAATGCACTGCTCTTGGGGAAAGTTAGACCCAGCTCTAACTTGGCCAACTGATTTGCTCCCTGAGAACAGCTATGTGGATTCTCCCCATGGGTTATTACCAAATTGGAAGGATGCTCGTGTGGCTTTAATGATCTCTAGTGTGGCAAAATGGTTTTAGGAGCAGATGGACTGTGAGTGGACTTGCTCATTCTGCTGAGCATTTGAAAGAGATTTATTATTCACAGGTGTGATCATCCTTGCCTGCTCCTCCTTTGGAGGGCGGAGTTCGTGATGACTAGAGTTCATGTGCTATGTGATTAACTCTCTGCCTCATCAGGATTTGCAACATCCTGATTGCTCCTACCTGATTCTTCCTGAAGAAAAAAAAAGAAGAATAAATTTAAAGATAAGTGCATTATCATAGGGCATTGAGAGTCATCCACGAATATAACTTTGGTTTTAAAATCTTTTGTTAAAAATATACATACATATATAATTATGAAAATCATAGTAGTTAAAATAATGATGAAAATAATAATGATTAGAATAAAGTACTTGATTTTAATAAATATACAAGCAGGTAAATAACAATTAAGATAATACCAGTAAATATTGAATGCCAGAATGATGCTAAGGTTGTTTCATAGGTATTTTCATTGAATTCTTACAATAACTTTCTGCAGTGAAAAATATTTATCCACATTTCACAGTGAAATACAAGAAGATTCTGGGAAGTTAAATGAAATGCCCATGCCAGGTGCGGTGGCTCAAGCCTGTAATCCCAGCACTTTGGGAGGCAAAGACCAGTGGGTCACTTCAGGTCAGGAGATCGAGACCAGCCTGGCCAATATGGTGAAAGCCCATCTCTACTAAAAATACAAAATTCACTGGGCTTGATGGCATGCACCTGTAATTCCAGTTACTTACCCAGGAGGCTGAGGCAGGAGGATTGCTTGAACCAGAGGTTGCAGTGAGCTAAGATTGTGCCATTATACTCCAGCCTGGGTGACAGAGTGAGAGTCTGTCTCAAAACAAACAAAAAAAATAATAAAAAATGCCCAAGTGCCTGAAACTGAGTGCTAGAGTTGGCATTTAAACTCAGGCCGCCTTACTTCATGTTCATGCTTTGACTACTCCACTTCACTGCCTTCTCTAGAGATTCTCCTCTCCCCAAAACTTTGCTTTTGTGCCCTCAGTGCAGAGGTGCACTAAGGAAGAGAAAATGTCACATGTGCCTATCAAAGAAGTTATTGGGAAATCTAGCCAAAGGGGTAAAGAGAGTATATCAGTCATGAGGAAAAGGAGAATTGGCAATGAAAGAAACTGGCCAATGATATCTTCACACTTAACCCCATGCTGTGCCCTTTCCTCTTCCTCCTCACTCTGCGCCTCTGAAGAAATCATCAGTAATATTCTTCAGACTCAATACTTGTTAAGTGCCTCTGTCTTGCAATTAATAATTTCTATGAACATTAATCACTGGAGACCTGACATGCTTCAATTCAAAGACTAAACCCAAGTGTTTATGGGCCATTTCCATGAAACAGGAAATAGCAGGGCTTTTCCTGAATGGTTGTCCTTAAATGTCTTTGCCAAAAATCACAGGGTGTATGCTTTTACCTGGTTTAATAGATGGAGGACTATAGTTTTTGCTTCCTCATCCCAAATTTTAACGAGCTTTCAAAGAAAGGCTCGTAGACATGGCTGTGTTCATGTACAAAACTCCGAAGTTACATTTCTTCAGCAGATCACTATAAACTGGGGGCTTGAAACCTGAGACAGATTTTAAGAATCACTCCTCTCCTCTCATTATATTTGTCTATTTGTCCGCAAAAATTACATTTTTTCCTATTTTCTGTCTTACTAATATTAGCTAATATTCCTAGAGTGTTGTTTTGTACCGAACCCTAAGCCTAGAGGCATGAGTTCTCAGAACAACCCCATGAGACGGGTACACTTGGAAAGACTGCCACATAGAGATCTTCAGTCACTTGCCCCAAATGGCACAGCAACAAGTCAGTGGCAGCACCTTTGACTGAGCTCAGGTTTCACTCCAGAGCCTGCAGTCCAGCCAACTCATGCTGCCTCCCCGCTCAAAGGCCGGAACTCTGTAGCTGTTAGCATTCCTCCTTTACCCCTTGTCTCATTAGTCCTGGGAAGTGTTGGGGAGCACAGATTTCACACCCTGCATGAAAGAAAAAGGGCTTGGTGAGTAAAGTGAGAGAAGTGTGAGAACGTTCCAGGCCATCGGGTCAGCTACTTTGGTGGTTCTAGGGAAGTGGACTTTCAACAGCTCTGTGATCCAAAGTTCGGGGAAGAGGTGAAAGCAGGAAAGGAAGGAGGAGGCGAAGCTATGGGGCCGGACTGAGAGTCATTCATGTTGACTCCTCCTGTGGACTACTTTTCTCAACCTTCTAAAGCAAGAACCCTCCATTCGATCTGCACTTCCAAGAGGTTTTGCAATGAGCCATTCACTTTATTTATTCATTCAGCATACATCTTGACCCAGCAATTTAGATATAGCGTACTATGCTTAACATGAGAAATACCAAAAGGAATAGGATGTGTGCCTGACGTAAAGAAGCTGTCACCCAGTGAGGATGGTGAATGGAAGGGCAATGTAAAGTGACAAACAGCGTGGTTTAGAGAAGGAAAGGAAATGGGTTGACACCTGCAACCCACACACGCAGGCTGTGTCATCACAGGCAAGTCAGGTAACTCCTCTAACCCTCAGTTTCCCCATCTATATGATTTCATGTTTAATGGATGGGAGGAGTGAAAATAATGCTTATGAAATATATCACAGAGTTCCTATCATGGTATACAAAATCAATAATGTTAGCTGTTATGGCCATTATGTCAAGAAATAGTTGCCTTTTATTATAAGTCCTATAATGGAGGTACATTCTATCATGGAAAACAAATTCCATGATGCTAAGAAAGATGTCCCCAAAGCATCAAAAGATTTGATACAAGATGTAAATAATTATACGTTGAATAGGCAAACAAAATGGGAATCGAGAGGCATTCTAGACAAAAGCAACAGCTTCTCCAAAGGCAGAGGGACTGAAGAGAGTGATTGTGTTGGCTCAGGGGTTGGCAATTTGGGGGAAGCGGTGTGAAAAAATGGAGAGGGAGCCAGCAGCAGGACCTCTTGAGTCCTGTGGTCCTCACTGAGAAGTCTCTTTCCTAGCAAGTCCCTGGAGGTCATGGAATGAATAAAGTTGCAATAGTATCTGCTACACTTCAAAAAATTGATGGAAATAAATTTAGGTTAACAAATAAGATTTATAAAACCACAAAGATTGTTATTTTCCAAAAGGAAAGCACCCTATGGCAACAAGCTTTGACGGTTTGCCAAAGGATAAAATATTTTCCACGGTGAGAGGAAGGAGAAGGCTGAAGGCTAAATGATCATTCTGCTAAATGTATCAGTTCGTTGTATTCTTTCCTGTATTAATTGCATGCTCTTTCTCCAACTGATTTCTTATGCACCCAAAACACAAGAAAAATTAATCCTCAGCAAGCAAAACAAGAATAATATTTGATGGACTGTGCCACTTTCCTGAGTTGCCTTGGGAAAGGGAGGTGGCGGTGAGCCCAGTGAAAGTTGTTCTGGCTGAACCACTCTAGATTTTTTTAAAAAATGAAATCTACAAAGATCTTAACACTTGCAGTGTTTCTACTGCTGTTACTCTTTTATGCCAATAGTGCTTTGGACTTTAAATGACTTGCAAATGAAATACCAAGCTGAGAGGCCAAAAAATAATCCTGTGAGTGCAATATAACATTTATTCCTAGTACAAAGTGACCTCCCACTAAGGAATATGAGTCGCTTCAGCTTCGATGTTCTTGGAGCGTTGGCATAACAAAGGGGCAGGCGGGCTGATGGCTGTTTATCAGTACTAGAACCCATTTTGGCTGGATGATGTCAGAGGAAATCATCGAAAAATATAAAAGAGTGAATAAAGAAAAACGGGGTTTTTCTTGTTGAATTTTCAACATACATTAAGATATATCTAACACTCTTTTTGCACTAAGTATATGTTGTGTCTAGTCCTTATTAAAATGTGGAAGGGCAGCCTTGTGAATTCCATGCAAGGAGCACAAGTGAATTGTACGGTACTTTGGAGTCATTTTATCAGACCCAAATGATGGCATGCTCATTCTACCCAACTGCAGACCTAAATTGTGGAAGGGGAGCAATCAGCCTGCCTGTGCTTTGCAAGACATGCACAGAAGATATTACTTTCCTTTTGATACAATTATGACGAAGATTAAGATGAGAACTTATTTGCTGAGCAACTACCATGTGCGTGGTCTTGTGCTTGGGTGCTCTACATATACATCATCTAAGCCAGACGGCAGTCCTGCCATGGGAACTTGTCTCCTATTTTGGCTCTTTCTTCTGAGAGGGGAGTACAAGAAACACTCTGGCTGGTGGCTCTGACCTCTCATTAAATGAGATGTGGCCAGTCAAGGAGTTGCAAGTTTCTTATTTTTAAGAAACACAAAAATCATCTCATTACCTTAACTCACCAGTATGAATCTCCAGATCCTGCCTTTCAGATCTAAGACAATAACCTTAGCACATAATGAGTAAATGTTGTACTTAAAACCCTAGAATTTTACTTTTTGCGGCACATCTGATAGGAGAGTTGTGCTTTTGAAATCGACAGAGTTGTAAGATCTTATTTCTGACAGCAGACGGCAGCCTATGCCTGTGAAAGGAGTAAGAATCCCTTCCCGCCAGCCCTGGCAACCTCATAGATACAGAAAATATGCGAATCTCCTCCCCCTTCTTTCTGTTACATTTTTCTGAAAACTCGTTATCTAAATTTAAAACCGTGTTGTTAGATAAGTCTTGGGGGAAAATAATCTTGAAAAAGATTATCTTTGATAAAATAAAGGCTGCTATGAAACTTTTGACATGGTCATTCCCCTGGAGAAAGATTCTATTAGAGAATGATAAATTCTATTTATTTTATTTTTTGTCATTTTGCCATAGACTTTTTCAATTTATAAAAAACATCAAACATGTGGAAAAACACAAAAGATATTAAAACAGATAAAGAACAGTATCCATCACTTAGAGATATGAAAGCAAATTGTGTTCGATTTCAATTTGCATTTTCTAAGCACTGGAAAACTTGCCCTATTTACTAGCAAAGTCTGATTGAAAGTGGTAAATGAAAGACACATGAACTGACACCAAAAGTTTGCAGTTGTCACCTTTTGTCTGCTGCTAACTTGTTGAAAGGTCTTGAAAAACATTGCTTTAACTGCATAATAAAGAACATTGTTGAATCAGATAAGATAGATTTTAACCTTGATTCTCTCTGCTCCTTGCTTTATGTACCTTGGATAAG